CTTACCCACAGGGGAGGAGCTATGACATCCGTGAATGAGAATGATTTTAGGCGTAATGTAGGAGGAGCTTGATAAAAGTTATAAAGTGGTGAACGCTAGGTCTGGTAAATGAGATTCTGTCTAGCACATGCCATCTGTTGGGCTTAACCTAAGCTTGAGACAGAACTTTTGGCATCGTGGTTTCATTTTTCCAGGTAAGATCGAAATTAGGTTTACATCTATATTTTATGATAGAGATCTGTCTTTTTGGCTCAAGTGTGTGTCTTCATCACTTTGTAGTACTCCTAGGCGGACATTTCTTCATTCTCGTAGGGCACTGTCACATTGCTTTATTTCCTATTTGATAGTGTCATGAATGTTTTTCGGGCACATGTGTTTCAATGTTGTAAAACCTAAATGTTGTTGTTGCCATTGAAATTTAATGAACAATCATGTTTTTGAAATCACAAGCGTGAAGATAACTTTGGCAATCTTTTCACGTGTGGTTAATGTGAATCTGTATTACATACAGCTAACACACTGAAATGTGTTTAACTCTCGGGAGGCTAATGCGGAGATTGATCCCGGAGAGTAAATCCACGAGATTTGTTATTTGATTCGCCCCAGAACTATTGTTAGCATTCTGGGCGCGTCGATTGTTCCAAGCATAGATTCCAGAACTGGTTCTGTCTGACTGATTGTCATTTTGAGTCTGTACGAGAGATGGCACCTGACGTAGAAGACTTGACTATCATTACAGGACGTGTAGAGGAAGGCAGAAGATGTAACAGTTGGAATGTGAGACATAAGCCCTTCCAAATTGGACAGGAGTGAATGTGAGCATGAGGGAGAGATGAAATGTTTTATTTAAATAAACATGCTTGATGTTAGTATAATATACATGCTTAGTGTACATCTAGAGCAGATACTACAAATATGCGCTTGTTTCTTCATTCTCCAGTTCCCACATTGTGCAGGGACTAGTAGGCATCCATTATTTGCCGACCGTCGAGTGTAACGACCTGCAGAAAGCAGTGAGGACGACAAACTGGAAAAGATAGGCAGGGTCTCAAGCCGAGAACTGTCCTGATGAGCTAAGTTATGTACAACTTTAATGTCATCTATAACATCATCCCAACTCTACTAGCCTAAACAAGTTCATTTTAATTTCGATTTATTAATTAAATCTTTTTGATGTTGTTACACAGAGTTAAGTAAATTGTGTACTTAGGTTCAAGTGTCTTTGTGCATATTAGTTTACTTCAGCTAACAAATATTTAAATCACTTGATGGGGGCTTTTAAGTAATGCCAGGAGAGGAGAATAGTCGCAGGGATTAACTGTGTATCGAGATAATATCACAGTGGGTGTATCCTGATATCTATCTATCCCTTCTCCTACTCCTGTGGATACAAGTACAGCAACTTTCATTTCATGGAACGAGCCACTCGCTGTTTTCTTGGCTATCCAGGACTGTCTAGGATCAACATAGCTTAGATAATAGTCCAGTTTCTCACGTGGGTGGACATTGTTAAGGATCAAACCCACACCCTCACTATATCAGTGTATTTACCCACGTGGGCGCGCGACATTTCCTGACATTATTAATCAGACACCTTCGGAACTAAACTATTATTATGTGGAGAGAATGATGCAGCGGGGTGTGATCAGGGGGATCTGGCTGCCACTCATGAGCGATGTGGTCAATATCATGCTGGCTGCCTTTACTTCCCAGGACTCTACCTGCTACCCTTGTAAGGCTGGGTCAATAAATAAGGCAATAATGAGAAGTGGCAACAACTGTTAATTTTACAGAATAGGTTATCTTGGTTTGCTGACAGTAAGAGATATGGGGATCTATAACTAAAAACACTGGAGCGAGGATCCACGGCTAGAAAAAAAAAAGCAAGCTCAAGAAAACATACATCACACCACCACACAAGGACACTGAGATGCAGATTTAAGTGAAACTGAAATAATTTGCTATAGCAGATAATGAAAGAACACAGCTGACTTCAACATCAGAATTCAGACTGGTTTTATCAATGGATAAATATTCATGCAAATAATTTAAAGAAACATTTCTTCTGGTTTCGTATAAGATATTATATAAAATGGTAGTTATAGAATTCTCTACTGGGTACCGGGTGCAGTCCCAGGAAGTAAAGGCAGCTGGTGTGATGCTGACCCCATTACCCATCTTTTGCCGATTGGTCTATAAAAAAAAAAGGTCTAGCCCTATATGTCCTATACGCCTAAAGGCTTGGAAAAGAGACCTTGACTTATTATAGAATTCTATGGAATGCACAAGCAGCTAGGATGGCACCATTTTACCAGATAATAGCATATTTAAAAAAAAAAAACAATTCTGTGCCATCGCTACACTGAAGACCGGCTATAGTGTAACCAACCAGTGCTGCTTTTTAGACAAATTACGTGGTGAGGCCCTAATCCCTTCAATGGTGTGACTTTCCACAAACCATGTGAACATTTGTTTCCCCCCAAAATTAACCAACCGCTGTGGAAATCAAACCTTAGTACTTGAATATCCTGAAAATGTTAAAATCATTCACTAACCTCTAAATCACAGAGCTAAACATACAGTATACTGTATTTATGCGCACAGTATTTTAACAGAAAATCATTCATGAAAAAATAATGTGCAGCTTATACGTGAGATATCAGGCCTACATGTCACTTGGACAACATTTATTAATAAATGGGAATTTCTTCTGCATTTCCAGTTGCCCCCATGCTGTAGTTTTGAGTCTTCTATAACTTAAGAACATGTTTTTGAAACAAAAACATAATTTCTCTTGGTAGGTGTCGGGAAGTCGCTGCACACTTGTTGGCAGCTGTTGGATTACAAGAAGTCTTTATGTGCCGTAAAGCACTTGTCAAGCCATAACCAGCTTCATATTCACTACTTGATGCACTACTTGCAACTAACAACTGTAACTGGCTCTTATGCAGCCCATCTTTTACTGCACACAGCTGGTACAGTTTAGGTGTTGGTAAAAAATCGAAGAGAATGATTTTTCCTAAAATTATCATTTAAGAAATGGTTACGGCCTAAATACGCATAAATACAGTATATGAAATCCCAACTTCACACTTCTAATGTAACAATTGCCATCTGTTCTACAGAGCATAGTCACTAATGTAACAATTGCCATCTGTTCTACAGAGCATAGTCACTAATGTAACAATTGCCATCTGTTCTACAGAGCATAGTCACCAATGTAAGATCTGCTGTCCATGACTTGAACATTTATAGAAACATTATAGATTACATTTCCCATTTCAATCTCATTATTTGTTTCTTTGCAAAATGTAAGGTAGATAATAACAAGTATGGTTATTCTATAGAAGACAGCAGTCATATCCATTGCAGTGATACCTACTGCACATGATGACTGATACAGGTAAATAATACCCAATCACACACAGAGTATTGTTTGGGAAAAAAACGTTAGCAGAACATATTTCCTTCGAAGACGAAATGTGTTTGCCCATGCGGCAAGGAACAACCAGGATAGTTGCGTATCCTTTACAGGACGTTGCTGAACCAACCCCAACAGCCCCTGGCTGTTGTGTGGTTTTTTAAAGGTAAATTTGTCCAGTAGTTTGCCGCTTCTGGATGGTCGGCTTTCTTGATACCACTGTCGAAACCAACGCAAGGCGCATGGATCGAACCAGGCATCCTATATACATCAGCTGGGATCGAACCCAGGATCCAATAATGCGGCCCCTAGCAAGAGCCAGGGTGTGGTTTCAAATTAACGAAAAATTGCATTGCACAGGGGGATGACTGTATAGGTAAATAATACCAAGGAACGGCACACAAATAAGCCATTAAAACAAAAGTACACGCAAAACTCATGCCCTGGCACCAAGACTAAGTCCAAATGAACGAACAACCAGGATTTTTCGCTGGAGCTTTTAGATAGATAGTGAACAAAGAAGAAAAGGATACTGCTTTAGAGTAAGAATACCAACTATCTTCCTCACTGAAAATCCCTCCAAATTTTCAAGCAATTATCTAGCAAAGGGTGACAGAGTGGACTGAATTCAGATCCAGATACTTACTTGGTCAAATCAAACTTCCCGCAATTCCTAGGGATGGAACCCAAGCCACAGTGCCATCAGACTGTCTGTTTACTTTTCAGAAATGCAATAAAAATATATCTATTTGTTGGAACACTCCCCACCCGGAGCAATCAATATGTCAAACTGAGACTCTATCAACCTTCCCATACGAAAACAACAAATCACTGTATTTAGAGTGAGAACCGGACTAAACAGGCTCTACAGCCATATGCACAACAAATTTAAGACTGGGAGCTCAGAACTTTAGCCGTGTGGCAAGGCACCCCTGAATACTGAATATGTGCTGCATGTGTAGGGAGACCCCAAACTTGGCCAGTTAGCATTCCAGGGAAACAAAGCTGCTTGGGTAAGTGGTGGGCATGGGTAGGTGGTAGGCATGGGTGAGTGGTGGGCATGGGTAGGTGGTAAGCATGGGTGAGTGGTAGGCATGGGGGAGTGGTGGGCATGGGTAAGTGGTAGGCATAGGTAAGTGGTGGGCATGGGTAAGTGTTGGGCATGGGTAAGTGGTGGGCATGGGTAAGTGGTGAGCATGGGTAAGTGGTAGGCATAGGTAAGTGGTAGGCATAGGTAAGTGGTGAGCATGGGTAAGTGGTGGGCATGGGTAATTGGTGGCCATGGGTAAGTGGTGGGCATGGGTAATTGGTGGCCATGGGTAAGTGGTGGGCATGGGTAAGTGGTGAGCATGGGTAAGTGGTGGGCATGGGTAAGTAGTGGGCATGCGTTTCACCACAACCTTTATAGAGACCAGGTAGCCTTTTCTTCTCAAAAAAAAAAAAAACAGCAAGGGAGAATGAAATGAAGATCAAAAGAAGATTTGTTCCATAAACTTCAAGAGTTCTACAAACTTCATTCAATGCATTTTATACAAAAAGAAAAACATACAAAGCCTTATCTGTGACTGGCTGACAATTATTAACGATTTTCTTTCTTATCTGGATTTTCTTGCTTATCTGGGTTTTGTGGCTTGAACTTGAGACATACGCTGTTGATGCAATAACGGAGACCAGCTGAGCCTGGACCATCATTGAACACATGACCCAGGTGAGCATCACACTAAAGGAAATCAATGAATGAATACACAGGGTAAATCTCATATATTAAAGTCTTCATTACCAGGCACTACACATCAATCAATCAAGCAGTCACCACCTCCACAATGCAGGCTGTGTGCAAGGATCTCCAAACTGCTGTGTGTGTCACTCTGGTTGTAGATTCTCCCAGACTCAATCAATCATGTGCCTTCTCCACAGTGAAGGTTGGCTGCAATAGATCTCCAGCAGGCTCTGTCTTTTGTCCTAGTTATACACTCTCTTAGACTGCTGCCAGTCCATTTTTTGATGTTGTCCTCCCACTTGTATCATTGCCCACCTCCTGCTCTCAGTGCCTTCCACCTTTCCTTCCAGTATGGCTTTTAAAATTATTCTGTCTTTTAGAGTGGCCAAAGTATTTTGTCTATTTATTCCCAGACTACTCTTCCTCCATCTCTTGATATTGTCATTCTATTTGTATCACTGTCTGAATCTTGCTCACTTGTCCTCAACTTTCCCTCCAGTATCAATTTTAAAAAATAAAATAAAAGTGTTGTGTCTTTTAATGTGGCCCAGATATTTCAGCTGTCTCTATTTCTTTCAGCAACTCTCTTTTCAATCATAGTTTTGCCATAACATCTGTATCTGTTTTTGTTTCCATGAAATATGACAAATTCTTCTATATATCCACATTTTCAGAGACTCAGTTTAATATTTTAAAATACTGTTTACTGTTCAGGTTTCTGCCTGCCAGGGTTGAGTACACATGTGATAATTTAAATTTCAGTGTGTTGTTTATCTCCCTACTGGGCTACAGCAAGGTAGCAATGAGACAACACAAGAAGATTGTTCTAGTTTTTTATCTCCCTACTGGGCTACAGCAAGGTAGCAATGAGACAACACAAGAAGATTGTTCTAGTTTTTTATCTCCCTACTGGGCTACAGCAAGGTAGCAATGAGACAACACAAGAAGATTGTTCTAGTTTTTTATCTCCCTACTGGGCTACAGCAAGGTAGCAATGAGACAACACAAGAAGATTGTTCTAGTTTTCACATGTTGTTTGGGAGATTTGAAGCCATTTCTACAAGTATTCTCTTTGTGATATCTTTATATACTTATCCACGAATGAAAACATACACAAGGGGCTGGCCATATGTCTGTACATTGACGGTGGAGGAACTGTCCTCTTTTTCTTCAGCATTCCGAGCCCCTGAGGTTCACTGCTGCAGATATCACCCACAGCCATTAATCTCTATGACTGGATATCTCTATGACTGGATATCTTTATATACTTATCCACGAATGAAAACATACACAAGGGGCTGGCCATATGTCTGTACATTGACGGTGGAGGAACTGTCCTCTTTTTCTTCAGCATTCCGAGCCCCTGAGGTTCACTGCTGCAGATATCACCCACAGCCATTAATCTCTATGACTGGCTGTCTCTTTCCAGTTGGTGACAATTCGCTGGAAACCCCATACTTCTCATAATAGTCCACAGTTTCTGATGTTGGACACAATCAAACGCCTTGCTTTTATAATAACTTGACCAGGATGGTAAAAAAATTAAAATAAAATACTCTTTGCAGGCCAGTGGCTCTATATAGACCAGTCAGTACTAGATGGGCCACTTGTTAGTTGTTGTCTGTGTCGACATTGTAGCATATAAGTCCGACTCATTCGTGCTCCGAGCTCCTATGCAGCAGCCATCTCAGTGTCTCAATGCTCAAAGCCCAGTAGGAGATTGGCATATCATCTTTCTTTACCACACAACCAGTTTTCCGAATGCCCAAACTGTGTTTAATATCCATTTTCAACAGGTAGTTCATCCTCTCTGACTCCAATGTCAAGTCTCTATACAGCAGCACATTCAGTATGTCTGCCCTATCCATACTTCTTCCTCTAACAATCATTAAAGACACTACCGGTCTGTCAGATCTTTTACCCTGGTGTACAGCCAAGACAGATTTTTGAAGCTGGACTTCTGGATGCTGTTAACCCATTGCAGCCGGTGTTTGCCAGTTTGGATTTTCTTAAGCATGCTCAATGAGTCTGTCACTATCAATGTACTAGGTGAGTGATGAGGTCATTATTATGTTGGCTGCCTTTACTTTCCAGGATATTATCCAGTACCCATTTTAGACTAAACTGAACTGGCAATCAAGATCACATTTAAAAAAAAATTCTAATCTATGTGAATTCTTCTTCTTTACTGGCTAAAAAATTATGGCGCACAGTTCTGGTTGGTCATCTACTTCTGGACTCCAGTCTTGTTTCAAAACCTGAGTGTTGCGGCCCATCTATTTTACAGATCCAACTTATTTGTACACACTCTTAGTTCCTTGCATCCTGGGCAGTGGAACTCTTACTTCAAAGGAAGCTTCCAATTAGTTGATTTTTACAACATGCTTCTGGATAGGCAGTAGGTCTATACGTTCTTGTTTTCCCCACAATTGGGCCCCAGATCCCACATAGGGAGATCTGGATTTAAACTCAAGACTTTCAGGCCGATATGTGAGCATCTAGCCATACACCACCACAGCTCCATGAGCATGCTGCAGTATATCCCATTTTTTCAAGCGAACACAGTTACCACATGGCAGCATGACCTCGTCATCACTGACGCCAAGATTTCTTTTGACCTGACTGTTAATAAAGAAGGTTTGAGAAAAGCAAAATATTCTGATACAGCCACATGTGAGATCACATTTATTTTTTTTAACTGTGCTCTTATCACAATGGAGGTTGGCTGCAATATATCCACTGCTGAGTATGAAGACATTGCGTGATGAGGTCCCAGTCTCTTCTACAGTGCCACTTTCCTACAACTTTTTGAAAGACAAGAAAATGGTGATGCCCTAAATCGCACACTGAGCAATCGAATCCAGGTAAATGTCGAGTATTTTACTCTGAAACAATTTCACAAACTGTTTAGCCACAGAGCTGCATAAGCTACCACAAGGCATATTTTCTCTTCTTCTTTTCCTTCGTGTTCACTGGCTGTAAACTCCGGTTGAAAGTGCTGTAGGCATTGCCATTTTAAAGACGATCTGGCTTATTTGCATTATGTAACTACTTGACTTTTTATGACACTTTTTTCAGGGGGCAGCAGGTTAACCACCCCCCCCCCCCCCTCCCACAATGAGGCAGAGGAACCCGCAGGAAGACGACATATCCGAATACTGAATGTTCAACATGCTTCTAACCTTGCCACATCTGACTTCTGTACGCACCATCCCCTGTGAGGTATCTCGAACAGTGTCTATAGCTGGCATATCAACAGCATCTTTGTCTCTGAGCACATCGCTGAAGGATGGCCATCCAGAGCCGGAGTCAAATTTGGTACCCGAGCTGGGACATACAATAGCAAATATGTATTAATACAACTAACAAAGTAATGTTTCCCTGTTGTCAATTTAAATGCAGAAGACAAAAACAATGGATTGCACAAGATATCACCTGGCATATTTTTCTGCACCTCATCAAATGCATACTACAATAAAAATAAAATAAAATACAATACATGCAAAAAAGTGAATCCTTTACAACCCAAGCTAGTTCAACCACTCTCAAAAACAACTGCCTGTTGTACTAGGCAAGCACAGGTTCACTATCATGTCCTTCTGTATACAAAGTCTCGTAGGGATTTAACGAATAAAAGAAAGTGATAAAATGGGCCTCAGCTTGGATTACAGGAAGACAGAAGTAATGATAATAGCAAAGAAAAGAATAGTGCCTAAATATATAATAAAAGTGAAAGGTTTGATTTTAGGACAAGTACAGAAATAGAGGTATCTAAACACATGAATAACACCTGACAGAAGGTGTATGATAGAGATAAAGAACAGAATAGACTATCTAATCTAAAACTGCATTTTATCAAATAAAGAACATTTTATGCAAAATGTCCATGTTTCTGGAGGTCAGAAAAACATGCTATATGGAGCAAGTTTAAACATATGGTTGTGATTCTTGGACAATTAATAATCAAGCAAAACAATTTCTGGAGGCCTTGGAGATGTGGTTTTACAGATAAAATCCTAGAATTTATTGGTTAGCCAAAGCGAGCAGCCTAGACATTTAGAAGAAGGTGAGGGCTTGAAGACAGCTTACCACAAATAATAATGCAATGTCTGTGTCCATCTTCAACTCAAAATACCCTAAAAAAGAAACCATGTAAGAAACTAAAAAAAAAATATATTTTAAGCTATTTAAAATGATTAAAAGTAATAAATGTAACGAAAGTTATAAAGATAAATGATTAGTAGAAATAAAACTTATCTGAGTTTTGTATGCCACGCGGCAGCCATTTTGAAAATGTTCTGATTTAATTCTTAAGACATGATTGGAAATGAATCCAAACTTCCAACTTAGTCCTACACAGATTCCAGCAAAACTGTCCAACTTTATGTGAGAGTGGACACAGAATCCAAAAACCAGGGATCATGATCTGTGGAGGTGCATCGTCTTGTTATACAGCTTTAAGACCAAACTAGGAAACCTCAGTTCTAGTGTTTTTGCAGTTATAACACATGCCAGTGAAAGTTGGACAACCACCAAAGATGTGGAACAAAATTTTAATGCATTTGAAAATAAATGTATGAGAAAAATCACGAATATAAAATGGGATGAATTCAAAAAATTTAAGGAAATAAGAGAAATGTCTGAGCAAATACCTGTATCAACTACAATAGGACAAAGAAGGTGGAGATATATTGGGCACACTCTGAGACAAAATAAGCAAACAGTTACAAAACAGGCAGTGAAATGGGAAACAAATGATTTGAGAGGATGTCCAAGGGAGCGATTAGGAAGAACATTATTACGATAGGCAAGAAATGCTGGCCTGAACTCCATGTCAAAAGTGGAGAAAGTTGCATACAATAGAGTGGACTGAAGGAATCGAATGTGAGCTCCATGTGACATCTAATGGCACACAAAAAGAATGATGATGTTTTATGAAGCAAATTAATCAGCAAGATTCAGACTAGCATCAGGTGCATCAGACACACATTGTAAGTGTTAGAAGGCAGCATCGAACTGACCTGAACAGTTCAGCACCACAGCAAGTACACATGTATAATCCTTTCTCTTTGTTTTCAAGAAGACTGCCAGTCCAGGCCTGTGAGGAAGAAATATGGACAATTTTATCTTCTTTTTCTTAGTGTTTACTGGCTGTAAACTCTGACAGAAAGTCCTGGTTGTTCTTCCACTTCTGGATTTTAGTCTTGTTCCAGAATATTAGCATTGTCTGCACATTCATTTTACAGATGTGGCTTATTTCTGTGCAGACCTGATGTTTTCTTGCCCCTTAGGCAGCTTCGAAAGAAACACTGGTCCTATCTACACTGGCAGATTTGCGGTAGGGAACCTGTTTCTAGGACGAGCGGTTTAAATACAGCTTGACCAGTATGAATCTTGATGAACCACCAGATATGGTTCAGTACCTCAGCATTCCAGAAATTACATGTAGGTTAACTTATAAAGGACTGCAGTGGCGCAGTGAATAACACGTGTGCCTTCCAACCAGATGGTAACTTAATTAAATCCTATCTGAGATAGGGTTTCTTTTTTCTAAAACAATGACTTGAACTCCAAGGCCAACCTAGCTATAGCTGGTTTCAGGACATCGAGACCATTAAAATCTGTTACCCGACACCTCCGGTTGGCTCTGATTCCCTGTAAACGTCACTGTTTGAATTGTCTACATCACTGTTTGAATTGTCTACGTCACTGTTTGAATTGTCTACGTCACTGTTTGAATTGTCTATGTCACTGTTTGAATTGTCTAGGTCACTGTTTGAATTGTCTACCTCACTGTTTAAATTGTATAAGTCACTGTTTGAACTGTCTACATCACTGTTTGAATTGTCTACTTCACTGTTTGAATTGTCTACGTCACTGTTTGAATTGTCTACGTCACTGTTTGAATTGTCTACGTCACTGTTTGAATTGTCTACGTCACTGTTTGAATTGTCTACGTCACTGTTTGAATTGTCTACAGTGATGTCTTTACCAAACATGGACACTATCTAAAGCCCATATACGCAAAATTACCACCTGCGAGATGACGTGCCTGAGAAAAGCAGCCAACCTAACCATCCGAGATCGAGTGAATAATAAAACTATCAGGCAAATTGTGGGAACAACACCTTGTACTAGATTCATCGAGAAACAGCAGATCAAGTGGTTTGGCCCATCTTGTTAGAATGCAGCAAGATCAAATACCATCACAAGCACTACATCTCAGAAGATCAACTACAAGAGCAAGAGGACGGCCGCGGAAAACATGGATCGACAACATTAAAGACACTCTACGCCTTCACGGCATGACAATAGCCAGTGGCAGCCAAGGTGCACTGGATCGCAAATTATTCCTCCACACGACGCTTAACGGCAGAAGTGGTTCATGATGATGATGATGTCGTCTTTACGAGATGCACAGTTAATGCTACTGGCTGAGTTCACCCCTTGCACCGTGTTTAGGAAGTCACGATATAAATATGCTTAATAAAAAATAGCATTTAGAAGGTTTCTCTGTGAACCAAATGGCTTTTATAAAACCTAGTTGATGACATAAATTTCCGTAGCCTCAATGATAGAGGTAACCGGGTCATGGCACCAGTCGCCTTACACATATTATTTTGACTCCAGGGAATGTGTTATTTTTAATACTTCAACTATTTCAGGTTTATTACTTCTTTTACATATCTTTATATACTTCTAATTACATACACACACACAGATATATATATATATATATATATATATATATATATATATATATATATATATATATATATATTCAATGTGAAATTGTTTTTGTAAGGATTTTTTTTTGGGGGGGGGGGGGGTGGGGGGGGGGGGGGGGGTGGTTTCTAACAGGGTCATGACCAATTTCTTTTAGCGTTACTTGGGAGACAGAGTTAAGCCATCGAATGGGCAAGCATTAATTAGAGTAATAATTCATTGGAGTAAGACAGAAAATGAAAATAAATATTAAAAAAAAAAAACAATAAAATGTTGATATTAACCACAAACCTGCTGAGTGCCGATTGGTCTATAAAACATAAGACTAGCCCTACATGCCCAATACTCCTGAAGGAGTGGAAAAGGGTCCTTTACTAAGTTTTTTATAGCCCTATGAACAGTTGACGCTCATACCAATTGCAAAATCAATGTAAAGCAGTCTGCTGCTGAATCAAACAGAATGTTTCAGAATTATGAAATCACTCTCATAACCCATAAGCCTCAGGCATTTATGGACGAGACACAAGAAGTTAAGAAGTACATCACATGCAAAGAATAACAAGTATATTATGTTGCACTTTTGGTGTTGAATGAGTTAACTAGCAGTACCAGGGTAGCTGAGTAATTTTACTGTACTTTCCATGGAAGATAAGCTAACTCACCGGCTCTGTTCCATGTTTTCTCGTTACTCTGTATTCAGTAGGTGTTAGTTTCTTCTTCCATTCTTCCTCTGAGAGTTTAATTTTGCCTGGTCTATCACTGTGTGTTGACGAGTCAGACATTCCTAGAAAATATATACAAGTGAACAAACACAGCCTGACGTTAATGTCACAAGATGTAAAAAAAACTTCCATTACCCAAATCAGTTGACAATTTTCATCTGTCTCAAGGAGGACTGTATTGTCTATTGCCCTACTCTCCATGATATTCCTTGTAATTATCTCAGAAACCATTTGTCTGCTGCCAGTGGACCAACTAAACGGCTATCCTCTGAATAAAGGTCTTAAATTATCGAGTCTGAAAATATACCCTAACAGGGCCTCAGTCACGTGTCAATTGCGCACTTCTATCGTCTTAAATTGCGCACTTCCGGCGACTTCCGCCAAGAATAACCCCCACGCTGCTCATGCGGCATTGATTGAGGTTAAGACAAGACGGCTGGGACTCATGAGCAGCAGCTACCGCATCTCCTCCAGCTTCCTTAATTTCATTTATTTGCTCATGAGTCCTAGCCATCTATTTTAGCCCCAATCCACGCCGTGTGAGCAGCATGGGGGATACTCTCGGTGGTGGCGGAAGTCGCCGGAAGTTCGTGATTCGGCGGTGGCATTATAGTCCCCGGAAGTGTGCAATTGACACGTGACTGAGGCCCTGTTAGGGTATATTTTCCGCCTCGATAATTTAGGACACTTATTCGGAGGATATCCAACTAAACAATGTAGGAAATAATAAGGTACACTAACACAGAAATTATTTCTCAGTCCCTTAGAAATTTTCCGGGGAATGAAAGGAAGGGGGGGGGGCGGGGGGGGGGGGGGGTTGGGGGCGCGATTGGGGAGAAAGGTTTTAAAGTGTAAAACAAAACAAAAATATAAAAAAGTAACAGTAATGCTAATATTGTGTTGAATGGTAAACAAATATAATTATGCTAAAATATTTGAAATTTTATGAAATATGCCTCCTCCCCGACTTAGGACCTGTGCGACTTACTGAGCACTATTTACTCTGCACCTACAATCATAACAAATCATTAAATAAAATTATATGATAAAGAAATATAACTACAAATGGTAGCGTCAAAAGGTTCCAGGAACTGACGCAATAGAGTACACATTTTCGTTATGTACTTTTCTCATAGAATAATTATATGTACAAAGACTGAATTTTCGTGTTTTATGAATATATTTTGGGTAATCAAAAAAAAAAAAAAAAAACTATTAACTTCTATAAACTCGATTTAGGACCAGTTGAACATGCAACCTGTTAGTCGGACCTTCTTCGGTTGTAAGTCTAGCCAGTCTAGGAGACCCTGTGTGTATATGTATGTGTATATTTATGTATATAATATATGATATGATATTACACCAAGAATAGAAGCATGACGCTGCATATATATATATATATATATATATATATGATATGATATTACACCAAGAATAGAAGCATGACGCTGCATATATATATATATATATATATATATATATATATATATATATATATATATATATATATATATATATATATATATATATATGAAAATGAAATGAATGACATACCAGACTCAGTCTGAGATTGAGTATCTCCCATCTTTCGGAAACTAGAATAACCAGAAGCTGACGAAATGATTTTACTGCAAGGGATACAATGTGGTTGTAGGTACAGCCTCGGAATCGACGTCAGTGAATATGAAGAAGTCAATCGTCGTGATATTACACCAAGAATAGAAGCATGACGCTGCATGTCACATAAATGTCTTGTGTTATTCAACAAAATGTTGTTACATAACCGTTGGAGTTATCAGCCATTACGTCGTTAAAACAATGTTTCGTTCTTATTGCTATTATTATTTTTTTCAATTTCCATGGAAAGTACAGTAAAATTACTCAGCTGCCCTGGTACTGCTAGTTAACTCATTCAACACCAAAATATAAATATAATATACTTGTTATTCATTGCATGTGATGTATTTTCTAACTTCTTGTGCCTCGTCCATAAATGCCTGAGGCTTATGGTTTATCAGAGTAATTTCCTAATTCTGAAATATTCTGTTTGATTCAGCAGCAGACCTGCTTTGCATTGTTTTTGCAATTGGTATGAGCGTCAACTGTTCAGAGGGCAATGACGCCTTCAGGCCTATTGGGCATGTGGGGCTAGACTTATGACTGCAAAGGTGGAAGATGGTGATGATGATGATAATGGTTAAGAAACAAAAGAAAACGTGGAATATCAGCAACTGAAAGGAGGATCCAACATGACGGAGATGTAGGTCCCTATAGCATAAGTAACACATTTCTGCTTAAATTGTCATGTAATATAAAACCAGATATATTTATAGACAATAAACAAACAAAAACAAACAAACAAACAAAATGATCATATGGTTCATAACAAATACTGTTAAGCATAAGAGAAAGTGCGAATGTTTAAAACACACATACACACACGCGCGCGTCAGTTTGAAAATGAAATTTGCCAAAAATTATGAATACTTAACTGAGTGTACATGACTTAGGTGTGCGAGTATACATGGTCTGGGTGTGCGAGTACATGGTGTGTGTGTGTGTGTGTGTGTGTGTGTGTGTGTGCGAGTATACATGGTGTGTGTGTGAGAGTATACATGGTCTGGGTGTGCGAGTACATGGTGTGGGTGTGCGCGAGTATACATGGTCTGGGTGTGCGAGTATACATAGTGTAGGTGTGCGAGTATACATAGTGTAGGTGTGCGAGTATACATGGTCTGGGTGTGCGAGTATACATGGTCTGGGTGTGCGAGTATACATGGTGTAGGTGTGCGAGTATACATAGTCTGGGTGTGCGAGTATACATGGTGTAGGTGTGCGAGTATACATGGTCTGGGTGTGCGAGTATACATGGCATAGGTGTGCGAGTATACATGGTCTGGGTGTGCGAGTATACATGGTCTGGGTGTGCGAGTATACATGGTCTGGGTGTGCGAGTATACATGGTGTAGGTGTGCGAGTATACATGGTCTGGGTGTGCGAGTATACATGGTCTGGGTGTGCGAGTATACATGGTCTGGGTGTGCGAGTATACATGGTCTGGGTGTGCGAGTATACATGGTCTGGGTGTGCGAGTATACATGGTCTGGGTGTGCGAGTATACATGGTCTGGGTGTGCGAGTATACATGGTCTGGGTGTGCGAGTATACAAGGCGTAGGTGTGCGAGTATACATGTCGTAGGTGTGCGAGTATACAAGGCGTAGGTGTGCGAGTATACATGTCGTAGGTGTGCGAGTATACAAGGCGTAGGTGTGCGAGTATACATGTCGTAGGTGTGCGAGTATACAAGGCGTAGGTGTGCGAGTATACATGTCGTAGGTGTGCGAGTATACATGTCGTAGGTGTGCGAGTATACAAGGCGTAGGTGTGCAAGTATACATGGTCTGGGTGTGCGAGTATACATGGTCTGGGTGTGCGAGTATACATGGCGTAGGTGTGCGAGTATACAAGGTCTGGGTGTGCGAGTATACATGGTCTGGGTGTGCGAGTATACATGGCGTAGGTGTGCGAGTATACAAGGCGTAGGTGTGCGAGTATACATGGTGTGGGTGTGCGAGTATACATGGTCTGGGTGTGCGAGTATACATGGCGTAGGTGTGCGAGTATACAAGGCGTAGGTGTGCGAGTATACATGGTGTCGGTGTGCGAGTATACATGGTCTGGGTGTGCGAGTATACATGGCATAGGTGTGCGAGTATACATGGTCTGGGTGTGCGAGTATACATGGTCTGGGTGTGCGAGTATACATGGTCTGGGTGTGCGAGTATACATGGTCTGGGTGTGCGAGTATACATGGTCTGGGTGTGCGAGTATACATGGTCTGGGTGTGCGAGTATACATGGTCTAAGTGTGCGAGTATACATGGTCTGGGTGTGCGAGTATACATGGTCTGGGTGTGCGAGTATACATGGTCTGGGTGTGCGAGTATACATGGTCTGGGTGTGCGAGTATACATGGCATAGGTGTGCGAGTATACATGGTCTGAGTGTGCGAGTATACATGGTCTGGGTGTGCGAGTATACATGGTCTGGGTGTGCGAGTATACATGGTCTGGGTGTGCGAGTATACATGGTCTGGGTGTGCGAGTATACATGGTCTGGGTGTGCGAGTATACATGGCATAGGTGTGCGAGTATACATGGTCTGAGTGTGCGAGTATACATGGTCTGGGTGTGCGAGTATACATGGTCTGGGTGTGCGAGTATACATGTCGTAGGTGTGCGAGTATACATGGTCTGGGTGTGCGAGTATACATGTCGTAGGTGTGCGAGTATACATGGTCTGGGTGTGCAAGTATACAAGGCGTAGGTGTGCGAGTATACATGGTCTGGGTGTGCGAGTATACATGGTCTGGGTGTGCGAGTATACATGGTCTGGGTGTGCGAGTATACATGGTCTGGGTGTGCAAGTATACATGGTCTGGGTGTGCGAGTATACATGGTGTGGGTGTGCGAGTATACAAGGCGTAGGTGTGCGAGTATACATGGTCTGGGTGTGCGAGTATACATGGCGTAGGTGTGCGAGTATACATGGTCTGGGTGTGCGAGTATACATGGCGTAGGTGTGCGAGTATACATGGTCTGGGTGTGCGAGTATACATGGCGTAGGTGTGCGAGTATACAAGGCGTAGGTGTGCGAGTATACATGGTCTGGGTGTGCGAGTATACATGGTCTGGGTGTGCAAGTATACATGGTCTGGGTGTGCAAGTATACATGGTCTGGGTGTGCAAGTATACATGGTGTAGGTGTGCGAGTATACATGGCCTGGGTGTGCAAGTATACATGGTCTGGGTGTGCGAGTATACATGGTGTGGGTGTGCGAGTATACATTATGTGGGGGTGCGAGTATACATTATGTGCGGGTGTGAGTATACATGATCTGGGTGTGCGAGTATACATGACGTGGGTGTGCGAGTATGTATGATGGGGGTTTGTGAGTATGCATTGTGGTGGTTTGGGAGACGTCGACCTTAAACCCACCTTTGTAAAGCTGCATTTCGTCTCGATACAAATTCCTAATAATACTGGAAATCCCTAACTTGAA